ATAACAGATTTAGTTTAAAAATCTCAGTGGCTTTATTTGTCTTTATGAATAACACCTGGCTCTTTTCTAGCTGTATTTATCTCTAGCAAACTGTCACTTGGCCACACCCTTAGTATTTTCTCCCTAATACATTTTTTTATTCTTTGTATGGGCACGCTGTATATTTTTCAAATCTTAGCATTCTGCTTCTCTTTATTATAAATTCTGTCAAGTCATTTCTTCCTTCTCACATCTTTCTGAATGTGGTTAAAAGTAGCCACACAGCAGCCTGAGTGTTTTGCTGCTTAGATATTTCTTCTGTCAGATATCCTAGTTCATTGCTCTTAAATTCTGCCTTCCATAAAGTCCTAGGACATAAGCACAGTCCAGCCAAGAATGGCCTTTACTCTAGCTTCCAGTACCTTGTTCCTCATTTCCATCTGAGACCCCATTAAAGTGGCTTTTACTGTCCATATTACTACCAACATTCTTATCAGATCCACGTAAATAATCTCTAAGAATGCACCCTTACCAGAATTGCCGTTAATACTCCATTAGCAACAATACAGGCTTTCCCAGCATTATCTTCAAAACACTTCCAGTCTTTACCCACTGCCCAGTTTCAAAGCTGCCTCCATGTTTTCAGGTATTTGTTATAGCAGCAACCCTATTTTCTGTCTTAGTGCATAATATGCTGCTATAACAGAACATCACCAAAGACTGGGTTATTTGGCTCCTGGTTCTGGAGGTGGGAAGTCAAAGATTGAGCCTTACATCTGGTAAGGCTCTTCTTGCTGCATCATAATGTGAAGGAATGTATCACATGGCAGGGAGCTTGTGAGGCAGAGAGGAAATGGAACTGAACACATCCTTTTGTCAGGAGCCCACTCTTGAGATTACCAACCCACTTCTGCAATAGCAGCATTAGTCCATTAATTACGGCAGAGCCCTGATGACCTAATCACATCTTACAGGTTCTCTCTCTTAATACCATCACAGTGGCAATTAACTTTCTTTTTTTTTTTTTTTTTTGAGTTGGAGTCTCACTCTGTCGCCCAGACTGTAGTGCAGTGGCTGCTTCTGGCCACCGCAGCCTCGACCTGTTGGGCTCCTGCTATTCTTCCACCTCAGCCTTCCGAGTAGCTGGAATTACAGGTGCACGCTACCACGCCCGGCTGATTTTTTATTTATTGTAGAGATGAGGTCTCGCTGCCCAGGCGGGTCTCGAACCCACGGGCTCAGGCAATCCACTCACTTCAGCCTCCCAAAGTGCTGGGATTACAGCCTGAGCCACCGAGCCCAGGTGGCAATTAACTTTCTTTCATTTTACATACTTATTTTAAATTGACAGACAACTGTATGTTTTTATCATGTATAACATGATAGCCACCTTTTTGTACATCTTGAAATTTATTCCTCCTATTTAAGCATAATTATGTATCTTTTGACTAACATTTCCCGACTCCCCTTCTCGCTAGCCACTCCAGCCTCTGGTAAATACTATTATGCTCTCTACTTCCAGCGGATCGACTACTTTTTTAGATTCCATGTATGAGTGAGACCATGCATTGTCTCTTGTTTTACCTAATATAATGTTCTCTTGCTGTCAAAAATGACAGGATTAGCCAGGCTCGGTGGCTCAGCCTGTAATCCCGCGCCTTTGGGAGGCCGAGGTGAGTGGGTTGCCTGAGCCCGCGGGGTTGAGACCCACCTGGGCAACTTGGCGAGACC